AAAGTAGTGCTGATCACGGGCTCGAGTTCGGGCATCGGTGCCGCCACTGCCGCACTGTTTGCGTCGGCCGGCGCTCAGGTGGTCGTCACCGGACGTAATGTGGAGAACATCGCCGAAGTGGCCAAAGACTGCACCGATCGGTCGCCCAAAGGGCTAAAAGCGCTAGAAGTGGTCGCAGACGTCTGTCAAGAAGAGGATTGTCGGCGACTCATTGACACCACGATTGAGGCGTTTGGAAAACTGGATATATTGGTGAACAATGTGGGCGCCGCCCGACCGGCCAACGTATACGACGACCAATATTTGGATTCTTATCGCTGGAATTTGCAGACAAATCTCGATTCTGTCGTATATTTGACACATTTTGCGGTCAAGTATTTGGAGAAAACAAGAGGCGCTATAATTAACATATCGAGCGTCAAATCCGCTCAAACGGTATGTATATTGCAATTATTTTTGTAACTTTTTAAATATAAATCTATTTTTAAATTTATGTTGTTTTTTAATCATATTGTTTGATCTCGAAGAGTCCTCAAATGTCGGGCTATTCCATGGCTAAGGTTGCGGTCGATATGTTTACCCGAAGTGTGGCCGTGGAGTTGGCCGACAAAGGCATTCGTGTCAATTCAATCATGTATTTTGAAAATTACTTTTTAGCATTCACTTTCATTTATAAATTAATTTGTTATTATTTTTGTATGAAAAAGTTGCGGAGCCGTTAAAACCAATGGATTGATTCACAGCGGCCTAACACAGGAACAGTCAGATGCGGTGTTCGCGACTCTGGGTTCGGCCACACCTCACGGCAAACCCGCCAAACCATCGGAGATCGCAAATGCGGTCATGTATTTGTGCAGCGATGAGGCCCAGTATGTCAGGGGCTCTAACTTTGTGATGGACGGCGGGTGGTTGGCCGCCAATACATGCTATAATCCCGCATAAGTTGGCACTCATTTACTTTACACTCAAGTAAAATAATTTTTATGATTTTGCCAAAGACTTTGATTATTTTTTCAATGATAATAATTTATTATAGTTTTATTAATCAAACTATTTAATAATAAACTATAAATATTAACTTCAAATTTTTTTGTGACATAATTTTTGAACAATTTTTGAATTATTTCTTAAGCAAATTTTCATAACTTGTTAGTTATAATCTATAACTTATTCAGTAAATTTCAAAAATTCAGTTTTATTAATTTTAACAGAAATATATAATTAACTATTACATTCTTTGTCAAAATCATCGTATAATAAATGTTTTGTCGAATCCATGTATTGATTGATCGGACAATCAATTAATTTTTGACAATTGTTTAATGGTATTGAATACGGGCTTTGAGTGTTAACTACAGTTTCGTTGTGATAAAAATAACGGACGAAATATTCTTTGTTTTTGTTTTGATGCAATTCTATGAAAAATGTTGTGCCAAATGGTAGTAACAAATCATTGTATATATTCATCGCATGCATGAAAGCGGCGATATGTGTGTCATGTGTTGAATACACGTATAATTTCTTGTCGTTTTTATTTTTCAAGACTTTATCAAAGTTTGCATTCAATTCCTTTACTAAACCGCCGGCTCTGAGCCGTTGAATGATAGGAGTGTCCCATTCATAGCGATAACTGGCTAAATGTGATTTATGAAGTTGTGCCGCAATTTCTATCTCTTCCTCTTTAGTCCAAACATTAGTCCAGAAATGATTGTAAAACATCTCAATGTCGAGCACTCCCTCAAGACCCCCAGCAAATCCTATCGTGTCTACAGTTTCGCCCACATATGCGCTCACATTTCTATACAACTCTTCATTAGCTTTCAAAAACATCTTAACATCACTTTTGTTATATCTCTCTTCCAGCGCTTTGTCCACACGATTACATTTCTTTTCCTATATTTATAAATTATAATATTATGCATAAGAAAATAAATTATTAAAATTTACAATTAATAGTTACATGATTTAAGACGAGATCATCGTTTTTAGGCATAAATGTCTGAATGGGAAACGGCTGCCAAACTTTGCCGAGGGCTGCGTCCGAGTCGTTACCCCATTGCCACTCCTTTTGTTTCGGCGGATAAGCGCCCGATAAGAGGTTGGATAAACTTTCTATACATCTGTCCGCTAAAGAGCTCCGGGCGTACACCTCTCGCGGCGAGTATTTGTCCCCCAAATACTGGTTATACTCTTGTCGTATGAATTCTCCCAATTTATACATACGATACTTGCCTTTAGTGGTCAGTTCTCCCAACCCTTCGACCCAATACTTATTGAGATCTTTAAAGGGGTCATTGGGTGGGAAATGTGTGGGCGATCGGTCTCCGTGTCGGTGCACTATTTGTAGCAATTTTAGTGTCGATATGTCGTGATTTGGCCATCGGTCTGATGCCAGACATACACCAAAGTAATAAACAACTAATAACTTTATGAACATTTTATAAAAAGTGAATTGTAATCTGAATGTAACACATATTAATATAACTTCACATCAATTATATCCTACTTCATAACAAATTGATAAAATTACGAACAATTGATAACAATTACAGTACAGTATAAACACAATTCATTACTTAATTTTGAATTCAGAAAAACTCTCAAACGCTCTGAAATACATTTTAGTTTATATCTATAGTGAACTGAAAACGTCAAAAATAACTGATTAGTATAAAAAATAATCTGAATAAATATATTTATTCAAAATCTATTCGTATCAATATATATTTTTATATTTACTACCAAGGTATTGCAAATTGAGCTACTGTATATAATAATATTTTATATGCTGATTTTAACCCTGTTTATTAAGTAACTCATGCTGTATTTAAAAATATGTTATGTTGCTTTACACTTTTATATTACATTTACATGTAACTACATTTTAATCTGTAATTGTGTAAATTATAGACTATAATTTATAGTAAACCACTTGATTTTATTATAAATATGTTAGTATTTAATAAAATAAAATTAATTATTACATTCTTTGTCAAAATCATCGTATAGTAAATGTTTTGTTGAATCCATGTATTGACTGATCGGACAATCAATTAGTTTTTGACAATTATTTAATGGTATTGAATACGGGCTTTGAGTGTTAACTACAGTCTCGTTATGATAAAAATAACGGACAAAATATTCTTTGTCTTTGTTTTGATGCAATTCAATGAAAAGTGTTGAACCAAATGGTGGTAACATATCATTGAATATATTCATAGCATTTAAAAAGGCAGCGATTACTGTATCGTGTGTTGAATACACGTATACTTTCTTATTGTTTGTATTCTTCAAAACGCGATCAAAATTAATGTTCAATTCTTTCACTAAACCTCCGGCTCTGAACCGTTGTATCGCAGGACTCATCCAATTGTGTTTGAATGTCAGTATATGGGAGTCGTATAACTGTTTGACGACATCCTTCTCCTCATCCTTAGACCAGGTTTTACTCCAGAAGTAGTTGTGATTCATTTCAATGTTGAGGATATCGTGATAGGCGTCCGCCTTATGAATGTCTATCACTTCGCCCATAGTTTTACTCAACTTTTCATAAAACTCTTTGTTTTTGGCCTCAAATGCTTTAATCTCTGTGTTATTGTCATATATTTGGTGCCACTCTTTATCGGCAACTCTACAACTCTTTGCCTAAAATACATTTTATAATTAATTTTGAATGGTTTGTCAAAATATATTAATTTTTAAAATAATCAATTAAATATTTAGTGAATATATTATACAATAGTAATAAATTAAATAATTACATCACTTAAAACGAGATCATTTTCATGTGGCATAAATGTCTCAATGGGAAAGGGTTGCCAAACGCGGCCCAACTGTGCGTCCGTTTCATTACCCCACTGCCAGTCCTTTTGTTTTGGTGGATAAGCGCCGGCCAATACAGCCGATAGACTTTCAATACACCTTCCGGTGACTGAACTCCTGGCGTATACCTCTCGGGGCGAGTATTTGTCGCCCAAATAATTGCTATACTCTTGTCGTACAAATTGTCCCAATTTATACATACGGTATTTGCCAGCAGTTGTCAGTTCGCCGATCCCTTCCACCCAATACTTTGGATCCTTAAAGGGATCATTGAGGGGAAAACCAGTGGGCGCTCTGTCTCCGTGTCGGTGCACTATTTGCAATAGTTTTAATGTCGATATGTCGTGATCTGGCCATCGGTCTGACGCTTCGGTTGATACCAAACATACAGTTATAAAATATAGTATTTTATAATTCATTGTTTTTTTGCAAAATAATTTATAAAATTATTGGAAAAAATGAAAACTTAATTTAACAATATTTGTCTTTATTGTATTTATCACAATGAAATATATTGATAAATATTAGATATACCTTGACATTTATAAATTCTTATTACGGTTTTGCCTTTAGCTTATCGCTTTGATTCAGATGTGAGAAGTTGTCATTTATTACAATTAAACATTGAATAATAAAAATAAAAGATACAAATTAATAAGATATTTGTTTATTTATTATTAATTTATAACTCATCAGTATTTCTGTTAATTTTATTGATATCATTAAAAATAGTGTTTTATTTGCGAATTTATTTAAACTTTTGATTATATCTAAAATTTAAATTCTAAATATTAGCGCATTCTTTGTCAAAGTCTTCATAAAGTAAATCTTTGGTGAAATTGATGTACCGATTGAGCGGACAATCGGCCAAACGATCGCAATCTCCCCATTGAAGCGAATGAGGGATCCCTTCATTAATTGTAGTCTCGTTTTGATAAAAAGCTCTGACGAAATAGTCGTTAGTTTTGTTGTTTTGATGTAATTCAAAGAGAAGGGCCGAACCGAACGGCACCATCAGGTGATTGGATATGTTGAACGAATACATGAGTGCTTCCAATTGTGTGTCATGTGTTGAATATACATATAGTTTCTTATTATTACTTTTATCTAATACTCGTTTGTAATTATCATTTAATTCTCGGACTAAACCTCCGGCAGTAAATCTTTGAATGACACGACTGTCCCAATTGTATCGCCAGTAAAATAGTATGGGTTCTAATAACTGGTCCACAATATGTTTTTCTTCCTCCAAAGTCCATGTCTTACTCCACACATAATTGTGAGACAATTCAATGTCCAACGCGTCCCGAAAAACAAGCGCATCGTTTGGACTCACAATCGGATGTCCACTGATTTTACTTAAATTCTTGAAAAGAGGCACAAATTGTGCAAATTTTTCTTTAATAAATGTTTGATTAAATATTCTCTCTCTTTCTTTAGTGACTGCTAAACAATCTTTTACCTGAAATTACAAAAATATATACTGTATATTTGTAAAAAGAGTAAATCAATGTTAAAATATAACATCAAAAAAATTATTAAAAATACTAACAACACAAACAGTATCGTTATCAATGGGCATAAATGTCTGGATAGGAAAGGGCTGCCAAACTAAACCCAACTGAGCATCGGTTCCGTTATTCCACTCCCAGTCCTTCTGTTTTGGTGGATAAGCGCCGGCCAATAGACAGGACGTGCTTTCTATGCATCGGTCCAGTATAGAGCTCCGGACGTATACCTCTCGCGGAGAGTATTTGTCCCCCAAATACTGGTTATACTCTTGTCGTATGAATTCTCCCAATTTATACATACGATACTTGCCTTTAGTGGTCAGTTCTTCCATACCTTCGACCCAATACTTGGGGTCTTTGAAGGGATCGTTAGCTGTGAGATGACCCGGATTTCTGTTTCCGTGTCGGTGCACTATTTGCAACAATTTTAGTGTTGAAATATCGTGATCTGGCCATCGGTCTGATGCTTCGTTTGATACTAAAAATGCAATAAATACACAAAGTATAATTTTATACATTTTAACATTAATTATATAAATTATGAGCAGTTAATTGAATTGTATTTATTGCTACAAGTAATTTAACAAAAAATTAATTTTAAATACTGTGGTGTTTTAGATGCAATCATTTATATATACGGAAAATTGTCCTTGCTTGCACTAATTTTTCTTATATTGCATCTAAAAGTGGTGTTTTAAATGCAATAATTAATATAAAGACACTTGATTTGTGTCAAAAATTATTTGACAATATAGCAGCAATCTTAAATTCTCAATAAAATTGCTACAAAATTTGATATATAATGTTATGTATATTTTTATATCAAATATACACAAATTTGATATAACAACTAAAAAGTTCAAGTTTTAAGTTCAATTATACTATCTTGCAAATACAATTCAACCAAGTACAATTATACAATTAGGTTCTGTTTATCTAAAACACTTAAATATGTTTTAATAGAAAAATTCAAACTTTTCAAAAGTTAATCTATTAATTTTCCTTGAATTTACAGTACATTTACATTGATAAATACTATTAGATATATAATAATATTTATAAATAATTATTAGTTTTGCTATTAAAACAGTAAAAGTAACATTTAATGCTTAAATGTCACAAATGATAATACAGGTTCACATTAAATTCAGGTTAATTTAGAAAGTAAATGTATAAAGTAATCAATTTTTATATTAATAAATTAGATATGAATTTTAAAATACTTTATATATGAACATTCTTTAATAAAATTGATGTACTAATTGAGCGGACAATTAGTCCCCAAATGACGTCAATCAAGTATTTATAAATACAATCATAACATTGTTTATTATAAATTAAAATAATACTAATTAAATAATTCATAATTATATAAAATTATATTTAAATATTATTGCATTCTTTTTGGAAGTCATCATAAATTAAATGTTCAGTTGATTTGAGGTAATCATTGAAAGGACAGTCAAATTGTTTGTTACAATCAGTAAACGGCAGAGAATATGGATATCCAGTGAGTGTTTCGTTATATAAGAAAAGTCTAACAAAATAGTCTTTACTCGGCTTTTGGTGTAACTCTAAGAGTACAGCCGTACCATAGGGTGGGACGATATTGTTGTATATATTATAAGAATGCATTAATCCAACAATTCCTTCGCGATGTGTTGAATATGCATATAATTTCATATTTTTCTTTTTATTTTTCAATACTTTGTTAAAATTTTTATTCAATTCCTTTATTATTCCTCCACCTCTTAGACGCCTAATGATAGGACTGTCGTAGTTATACCTCATTTGCATGAGTTGTGATTGTGATAATTGGTCGACCATTTGCTTCTCCTCCTCTACCGACCACTGACTGGTATTCCAGTAGTAGTTGTGCTCCAACTCTATCTTTAATGTCTTATACAATTCAGTTGCGGTCGATATGTCTGTGATATTTTGGTCAACAATTTCCGTCAACTTTTCGTATAATTCTTTGTTTTCCTCCAAAAACTTTTGTACATCAGGTGTGCCGTATATTCTCGTCAATTCTTTGTCTACTGCCGGACAGTCAGCGCTCTGTAAGCAATAAAAAATATTAAACCTTGTCGTCTGAATTTAAAATTAAAAACTATAGATTATGATATACCCCATCGACCACGAGATCCTCTTTTTTGTCCAAAACAGTAGTGATAGGAATTGGTTGCCAGAATCGGCCCAACGAGGCGTCCGGTCCTTTATTCCACTGCCATTGAGCCTGTTTTGGAGGATAAGCGCCGGCCAACAGATTGGCCACACTTTCCAGACACCGATCAGATGCTGCACTCCTGGCGTACACCTCTCGGGGCGAGTATTGATCGCCAAAATAAGGGCCGTATTCTTGTCGTAAGAATACTCCCATTTTATACATACGATATTTGCCATCAGTGGTCAACTCTCCGTTCCCTTCGGGCCAAAACTCTCTTGAGTCAAACGGATCGTTGGGTCCAAAATGATTGCCCGCTCTTTCTCCGTGTCGGTGCACTATTTGCAACAGTTTTAGTGTCGATATGTCGTGGTTTGGCCATTGGTTAGACGCCCCGCATATATTAAGCCAAACTATTAATAAATTTAATATAATAAAAATTAATTTCATTTTAAAACTTTGTCTAATTAGTAAGTAATTATATTTTAAAATATTAATTTGAAACTACAAATTGTATTTACTGAATTCTTATATAGTAACAGAATTTATGTAATCATCTTAAATGCCATGATAAAATTTAGATTATCTATTATTGCACATTTAAAAGCCTTGTTTGCGCCTATAAATTAAACTTTGCTTTTTAACTTATTTTGTAATAAATATTGTAATTATCAAAATATGTTTTATAACATTCTTGTTATTACAATAATATAATATACCGTATATTATATTTCCTGATTATTATTGTTTTCAATTAAGTATACTATTATAATATTATTATCTGTTTTTAATTCTTAACCTTTGATTAAAATTATCGCTAATAATAGCAAATAATTTCATATAATTCACATATAAAAAAGCTTAATTATTACTTCAAAAAATTTAACGAATAATAAAAAAAATTGTTCATTATAATTGAAATTATAAAATAAGCTGTAAATAAATGTTTAGTTACAAAAATTTTGAACCAGTATTAATTATAATGTCCCTGATTTTCAAAGTGAGATTCAGAGTACCTTAGGTACTTCAGGTAGTTATCAATTAATAATATAATAATTAATTTTTAAAATCATTTATATGTTATTTAGAATAATTACGGTAATATGTTTCTAGTAATACAGCTAATTTTTATCAATATTTTTATTATTGATTATTGAACTAAATTGATAAATTTGCAAATTAATTAAAAACTTCTGATTATTTAAATATTAGCGCATTCTTTGTCAAAGTCATCGAAAAGTAAATCTTTGGTGAAATTAATGTATCGATTGAGCGGACAATCGGCCAAACGATCGCAATCTCTCCATTGAAGTAAATGAGGGATCCCTTCATTAATTGTGGTTTCGTTTTGATAGAAAGCTCTGACGAAATAGTCGTTAGTTTTGTTGTTTTGATGCAATTCAAAGAGAAGGGCCGCACCGAACGGCACCATCAGGTCGTTAGAGATTTTTAACGCATTCAGGAGTCCATCCAAGTGGACGTCATGTGTTGAATATACATATAGTTTCTTATTATTACTGTTATTTAAAACTCGTTTGTAATTATCATTTAATTCTCGGACTAAACCTCCGGCAGTGAGCCTTTGAATAAGACGACTGTCCCAATAGTATCGCGTGGAAATGAGTATGGGTTCTAACAACTGGTCCACAATATGTTTTTCTTTCTCCAAAGTCCATGTCTTACTCCA